GAGACGGGGGAGTCTCGCGTCTGTCGGCCCAGGTGAGCAGCCTGGAGAGCAGGAGGGCGCATTCTCTGCCTCTGCCTCCCAAGTAAGCGCTGGGACTACAGGCGCCTGGCCATCGGGAACACCCGGCTGAATTGTTTTTTGTTTTTTAGTAGAGCACGAGGTTTCACCATGTTAGCCAGGATGGTCTCGATCTCCCCTGACCTCGTATCCACCCGTCGCGCGGCCTTCCCAAAGTGCTGGGAATTACACGGTGTGAGCCACTGCGACCTGGCACAATCATGGGTTTTCTAGAACAAGACGGCAATGAAGATATTAGAAATGACAGGACCCATCCATCTTGAGGACAGAGTTGGAAATGCTTTTTAGAAAATTGTACAAGCCAGGCCGCACATGGTGGTTCACGCTTATAAATCCCAGCACTTTGGGAGGGGTAGCCAGGATGGTCTCGATCTCCTGACCTTGTGATCCGCCCGTCTCGGCCTCCCAAAGTGCTGGGATTACAGGCTTGAGCCACCACGCCCGGCCTACTGTATTTCTTGTATAACAGGATAGTTCCTCTTTAAAATTATGTATTTAACCAATTTTATTGAGAAAAGATGATAAAAGCATTAAAACAAGGAAAGCAAAGTGGAAAACATGTCTCTTTTTTACAGTATGGGTGCATCTTATTCTAAGAGTCTCATCAAACTGCTTCTGGGGATTGACATACTACAGGTAAGACTCACTTTTTCTGTGAACATTTGATGGATGAGGTTTGTGGTGTATGCTCAAGTCTAAATGGCAGGAACATGGGATAGAGTAGGGTTAATCAGAGAATTGGGGTTTGTAACAGCTTTAACACAGCTCTGTTGCTGTGATGAGTTTGGTAGGGTAATGTCTGTGTTTTAAAACTATGCTTATTAGCTTGATACATCCAGCGGTTGGTCCCATTTATTCGCTCTGCATCTGATTCCTTTTCTTTTTTTTTTTTTTTTTTTTTTTTTGAGACGGAGTTTCTCTCTTGTTGCTCAAGCTGGAGTGCAGTGGCGCAATCTCAGCTCACCACAACCTCCGCCTCCCAGGTTCAAGCAGTTCTCCTGCCTCAGCCTCCCGAGTAGCTGGGATTATAGGCATGCGCCACCACGCCCGGCTAATTTTGTATTTTTAGTAGAGACAGGGTTTCTCCATGTTGGTCAGGCTGGTCTCGAACTCCCAACCTCAGGTGATCTGCCCACCTTGGCCTTCTAAAGTGTTGGCATTACAGGCGTAAGCCACCGCGCCCGGCCTGATTCCTCTCCTTAAATCTGCGTCCTGTGTACTCTGAGCACCTGGTAATCTATCATGTTCATATCTAAATCATCTCCCATTTAGCTTTTTAGATGATTATGTAACTTAATTTTGTCCTTTTTCTCCTTCTCTTTTAATATATTAAGTAGACAATACATTGGTATGATTTGAATATCTCAAGTTATTCAAATATATGTAGATCAGAAAACTTCCCTCCACCCCATTCTCCATTTTTCCTCTTCTCTTGTCTCCTACTGTTAATCTTTTCACACTCTTTTCATTGGAAATCTTGAATATAATTTAGGTGTTTTTTTTTTTTTTTTGAGACGGAGTCTTGCTCTGTCGCCCACAGTGGCCGGATCTCAGCTCACTGCAAGCTCCACCTCCCGGGTTTACGCCATTCTCCTGTCTCAGCCTCCCGAGTAGCTAGGACTACAGGCACCCGCCACCTCACCCGGCTAGTTTTTTGTATTTTTTAGTAGAGATGTGGTTTCACCGTATTAGCCAGGATGGTCTCAATCTCCTGACCTCGTGAGCCGCCCGTCTCGGCCTCCCAGAGTGCTGGAATTACAGGCTTGAGCCACCGCTTCCGGCATAATTTAGTTATTTTAAGTCTAAGAGCTCCCTTATTCCTCTGGAGAGCTCCCCTTGCAACCTATATGATAATCTTTTAAAGTCTGCATTTCATGGATTAACAGCGTATTTAATAATATTTTGATTATCTGATTATTTTAACTTTGCCTTGATAATAATTTTCAGTTTTTCAGAAGACAGATTAAGTCTTCGTATTCCAGTAGCATATTCTAAAAATGAAGACATACTCATGTGGATATCCTTGTAATAAGATATCAACTTTACCAAAGTGTTTCCTCCAGGAGCTCTAGTTGGAAAGAGAATTATAAATTTCTTTTTTCTTTTTTCTTTTTTTTAAGTCAGAGTCTCCTCTGTCACACAGGCTGGAGTGGAGTGGTGTGATCTCAGCTCCCTGCAACCTCTGCCTCCCACAGGTTCAAGTGATTCTCATGCCTCAGCCTCCCAAGTAGCTGGGATTATACATTTCTGTTGTGTGTATATATATATATTTTTAGACGGAGTCTCGCTCTGCCGCCCAGGCTGTAGTGCAGTGGCACAATCTTGGCTCACTGAAAGCTCTGCCTCCTGGATTCACACCATTCTCCTGCCTCAGCCTCCTGAGTAGCTAGAACTACAGGTGCCTGCCACTACACCCGGCTAATTTTTTGTATTTTTAGTAGAGACAGGGTTTCACCGTGTTAACCAGATGATCTCGATATCCTGACATCATGATCTGCCCACCTTGGCCTCCCAAAGTGCTGGGATTACAGGCGTGAGCCACCGTACCCAGCCTTGTATTGTGTATTTTCAGATCATCCCCTAACTCCCTATGTCTTCTTTTTTAACCTGCCATTGTCAAAACCTTATTTGAGAAGATGCCAGAATATTTTTTTGAAAATATTCTGGAGTTATTATGGAATGTTAAGTACAATCCTGTTGTACTTCAGTTTCTCTCTGAAAAGTTTACTCTGAAAACTATTGGTTTCTCCGAAAGTCAATTTATCATGATGCTTCTTAAGTGACTACTAAAATTTTACTGGAGTGTCTTTGAAGTTTCATCTGTTAATATGACTTTGTAACAATAAATAGGATTACTGTTAAAAGTAACTATTGGTCTGCTGCGGTGGCTGACACCTGTAATCCCAACAGTTTGAGAAGCCTAGGCAGGAGGATTGCTTGAATCCAGGAATTCAAGACCAGCCGGGGCAATGTAGTGAGACTTTGTGTCTATTTAAAAACAGAAAAAAAAAAATGTTTTTTAAGTATCTATTGCTTATGCTCAGTGATAATCCCTAGTAGAAGGATACACAATATACTGGTAACAGCAGTTGTTTCCAAAGAGGGTAGCCAGTTGGTTGGAATCAGGTATTCTCTGAATACTTTTCTTTACCTTTTTAATTTTGTAGCGTATGTTGAGACAGGGTCTCACTCTGTCGCCCAGGCTGGAGTGCCGTAGTACGATCACGGCTCACTGCGGCATCAACCACCCAGGCTTAAGTGATTCTCCCACCTCAGCCCCATGAGTGCCTGGGACTACAGGTGCGCGCCACCCGGTCTGGCTAATTTTCATGTTTTTTTGGTAGAGCTGGGGTTTCGCCATGTTGCCCAGGCTGGTCTCAAAACTTCTAGGCTCAAGTGATCAACCTGCCTGAGCCTCTCAAACTACTGGGATGTGGCCCTACCTGTTTTCTTTAATTACTATGTTAGAAAAGAAATGAACAGCCTAATAGAAAAGTAGACAAAGGTCGTGAACAGACTTTTACAAAGAAGAAATACAAGAATATAAAATATTTAAAAAGTTCAATTTTGTTAGCAATCAAAGTCACAAATTTAAAACACTATATCAAAATAGTAAATAATAACTATTAAGCAGTAAAAGGCATTTTTTTCCTACTCTCAAAGGGTCTTCTTGTTGAGCGTAGTGAATAGGCATGCTCGTGCATTGCTAGTGAGCATATAAATTAGTTCAGGCATTGAGTCTGAAGAGCAATAGATTGTATGTGTCAAAAACCTTAGATTTTGCATACCCTTTAATCCTAATGTCATGTCTCCTAATTTATCCTAAGATAATAACTGTGAATGAAAATGAAATAACATTAGTTTAGTGCTTGCTTTGGCAGCATATATACTAAGACTGGAACAATACAGAGATTAGCATGGCCACTTTGCAAGGGTGACACGCAAATTTGTGAAATGTTCCATATATTGAAAAAAATTGGCCGGGCGCAGTGACTTACGCCTGTAATCCCAGCACTTTGGGAGGCCGAGGTAGGTGGATCATGAGGTCAGGAGACCGAGACCATCCTGGCTAACATGGTGAAACCCCAACTCTACTAAAAATACAAAAGATTATCCGGGTGTGGTGGCAGACGCCTGTAATCCTAGCTACTCCTGGAGGCTGAGGCAGGAGAATGGCGTGAACCCGGGAGGCAGAACTTGTAGTGAGCCGAGATTGTGCCACTGCCCTCTAGCCTGGGCGACAATGCGAGACTCCATCTCAAAAAAAAAAAGAAAAAGATTACTGTTTAAAATAAAGAAATGTAAATAATTGAGATGTTCAAAAAGGAAGTCATTTATATGCCGGCGGCGCGGTTGGCTCAACCCTGTATTCCCAGCCCACTTGTTGGAGGCCGAGACGGGCGATCACGGAGGTCGAACGATCGAGACCATCCTGGCTAACACAGTGAAACCCCGTCTTTACTAAAAACTACAAAAACTAGCGCAGGCGAGGGTGGTGGGCCGCCTGTAGTACCAGCTACTCGGGGAGGCTGAGCCAGGAGAATGGCGTGAACCCGGAGGCGGAGCTTGCAGTGAGCTGAGATCCGGCCACTGCACTCCAGCCCGGCGCCAGAGCGAGACTCCGTCTCCAAAAAAAAAAAAAAAAAAAAGGAATATTATATGCACATTAATAACTGTAAAAAGAACTAGTTAGTATCATACATTAATTGAAAAAAACAAACCCAGGTTACACATAGCATTTATATTAGGTTGGTGCAAAAGTAATTGCGGTTTTTGCAATAAATAGTGCAGTCCAGTATTTTGTTAAAAAAAGAAGATACATATGCATATTAATAGTGCACATTTCTGGAAGGACAGGATTAGTCATTTTTATGTTCCCTTTTTAAATTTTTTCAGAGTCCTGTGTACAGTAATAATAAATTTGAAGGATTGTTTGTTTATTTATTTTGAGAAAGAGTCTCACTCTGTTGCCCAGGCTGGAGTGCAATGGTGCGATCTTGGCCCACTGCAACCTCCGCCTCCTAGATTCAAGCAATTCTCCTGCCTCAGCTCCCCGAGTACCTGGGATTACAGTGTTCACCACCATGCCTGTCACCCAGGCAGGAGTGCAGTGGTGCAGTCTCAGCTTTCCAACCTCCTGGAACAAGTGTTAGTCAGTCATTGTCTTGGGAGAAATCTTGTGTAATGAGTATTTCATTTTGAAACCATAGTGAATCACATTTGATATCTCTCTCTCTTTTTTTTTTAATTTTTCTCGATGAGTTTCAGATGCTATTCTGTGATAGATTCACAGGTCTGTTTTTAAGCAGTAAGTTTTGAGTGGAAATTTTCTATATTGTCTTAATCATACCTGCTTCCCATAGGAATAATACTTTTTATGCCTTACTATATAGCCAGTTGAGAATTTTGGCTCTTAATGTAAGATAATAGCTCTGTTTCACATTTATTGCCTGTCTGTTTTCGATGAAGCTGTGGTATTAACAACTAAAAGATTCTAATTTGGGGAAAAATTAAAATTTTTTTTTCCCCTAAATTGTGAGTGGGAAAACTGAGTGAGAGAAGTGATTTTTTTCTAATTTTAACTAACAGTTCAGTACAAGCTGAGGTAGTGATATGAAAATGTATTAAGTTTTTGTGCTTTTAATTTTTAGGTTCGCCAGTTGGTGATTGATAAGTTGTCGTCTATTGGAGGATTTACCTGTGATAATAAAGTTCATTCTTCATTCCATAACAGCCATGGATGCACTTGAGGTATGCTCTTATATCCCATCACACCTAGACAAAGCAACTTTAGTTAATAAGTACCAATCGCTCTTCTCTGTCCCCAGACTAACCGAGAATAGTGACTAATCCAGATAGCATTCAGAGGAGAGAATGAAGCTATTCAACAGATTCATTACTCTGTATAAGCTGCTATAAGTTACATTTACTCTTTCTGTGTAGTACCTTACAGAATTCTGAAATTTTGGGTATGATGTTCTATGACATTTCATTAGCTATTCTCACAACTCTATTTTTCAAAATGTCCAACATTTAAAATTTTTTCTTAGTCTTTCAGGAGATTGTCATGGTTGAGAAACTGGACTGTGCCTACCCACTATGAATAAGCAGAAAACCATAGTTAATATTTATTTTCTGCAGGTAATTTCTGAGCTTCGGGAGAAGTTGGATCTGCAACATTGTGTTTTGCCATCACAGTTACAGGCTTCCCAAGTAAAATAGAAAAGTAAAGGACGAGCAAGGTAAAGAGCTCATGGATAATTGCCACCCTTTTCCTCACATAGGTTGTCACAGTTTTCTGACATCCCACAGTCAGAATTGGAGCTTAATACTTACAACTACAAATAATGGTACTATTATGACATTTACATCTAGTATTGTATAGTGTTTCAAATTACATATATGTATGTGATTATGTATGCGTTTATATGTTTTCTTAGCGATTCAGATCAATTCCAGACAGACTACAGTGCAAGTTTATTAGCCATCTTATACATGAGGTTGTCATTTGCTCCAGGGTACATGGCTACGAAGCAGGAAATCAGATCTTGTAAGTTCTTTTCTGGTAGGTAGAAGACTAATTTTTTCCTCTCTGCTACTTGTAATTCCTCAGGAAATCAAGAAAGCAGCGGTCAGAGCTGCATTATTCTCCTTTTTGATGTAATAAAGTCAGCTATTAGATATGAGAAAACCATTTCAGAAGCCTGTGTTAAGGTGAGATCTTTGGAACTTTGATTATCAAGGAGGAAATGAGTGGCAATTAGTGACAGATGTATAACTGAGGTAGATTGAAATAAAAATTTCAAAAGTCATTCAAGTGGAAATAATAGCTGATGGCTGCCATATGGACACATTGGCTCTTAAATGAGATAACAGGGCATGCTGAGTAAGGTGAAACGTGTTTCGCTGATGTGTGGTAATGTTTTTGTGACTCTCTTGTTTTTTCAGGCAATTGAAGACATGGCCTCAGTGTCTGAACACAAGGTGATATTCATGTACTATGCATTTTAAGTATTGCAGACTTGAGGCCGGGTGCGGTGGCTCATGCCTGTAATCCCAGCACTTTGGGAGGTCAAGGCAGGCAGATAACGAGGTCAGGAGATCAAGGTCATCCTGGCAAACACGGTGAAACCCAGTCTCTACTAAAAATACAAAAAAATTAGCCGGGCATAGTGGCAGGTGCCTGTAGTCCCAGCTACTCGGGAGGCTGAGGCAGGAGAATGGCGTGAACCTGGTGCGGGGAGCTTGCAGTGAGCGGAGATTGTGCTACTGCACTCCAGCCTGGATGACAGAGCGAGACTTTGTCTTAAAAAAAAAAAAAGTATTGCAGACTTAAAAGTAATGACGGCTAGCTTGCCGTCCCGCTTTCTTTCTTTCTCCTCCATCCAGTCACTCTTTTTTCTCTTCTTTAGTTGCTCTAATAAACATTAGCTGTTTAGGGAAGATAATGTGAGGTGTTGACTGGCCAGATAGCCTGCCCCTACTCACTCTGGCTATAAAATAAGCCTACAGTATCCATAAAGGGAAATACAATATAACTAAGCACATCAAGGTGCAATCAAAGAAGCCAAGTCCCCACTGATGAGATGAAGAAAATAACCACCTGAGTCTCAGGTCCCTGTATCTGCCTAATTGCCCTTCCTTCCACCCAGCACCACTGTCAAGATAATGGCAT